TCAGGTGGGGAACCGAGGCCCGGAGAAGGGATGTGACAGGCCCGAGGTCACACACGGAGATGGCAGCAAAAGCCAGGACCCGATGCTGGGTGTCCTAACCCCCCCATCCAAGGCTCATTCACAGCAGATGGCTCTGTCCCCCCTCGCCACCCCTCCCCCAAGGAAATGGATGGAGAGAAAGGAGGGGAGGGGAGAAGGGAGGAGGGAAGGAAAGCAGGCTTATCTTTAAAAGGCCTGGTTCTGAAGAAACCCTTTTGTCTTTATCCCTCACCAGCCCTGCTCCTGTTTCACAGGCCGGCCCCCTCCGTCTCCTTCCTCCAAGGCCCCAGAGGCTGCGGCTGCCACCTTTCAGAGCCAGTTAGAAGGAGGCCAGTTAAAAAGTCAGATATGGGGGACCTCCCTGGTGGTCCAGTGTTTGAGAATCTGCCTTCCAATGCAGGGGATACAGGTTCAATCCCTGGTCGGGGGCCTAAGATCCTACATGACGCGGGGCGACTAAGCCCGTGCACCGCAACTACTGAGCCGCGCGCTCTGGAGCCCGCGTACCACAACTAGAGAGAAGCCTGCACGCTGCAACGAAAGACCCCGCATGCTGCAGCAAAGATCTCGTGTGCAGCAGCTAAGACCTGATGCAGCCAAATAAATAAATTATATATATATATATATATATATATTTTTTTTTTTTTAAGTCAGATACGGAAAACAGTATGGCAGTTCTCAAAAAATTCAACATAGAATTACCATGCGACCCAGCAATTCCACTCCTGTGTATATGCCCCAAAGAACTGAAAGCAGGGACTTGAAGAGATATTTGCACACCCATGCCCCTAGTAGTATTACCCACAACCACCAAATGGCAGAAGCAACCCAAGTGTCCACCAACAGATGAACGGGTAAACAGAATGTGGGACATTATTCAACACAGTAAATATTACTCAACCTTAAAAAGGAAGGACATTCTAACACCTTCTATGACATGGACGAATCCTGAGAACATTATATGCTACGTGAAATAAGCCAGACACGGAAGGATAAGTACTGTGTGATTCCACATATATGAGGTCCCCAGAGGAGTCAAATGCATAGAGACAGACAATAGAATGGTGATTGCCAAGGGCTGGGGGAGGGAAAACAGGGAGTTAGGGTTTAATGGGGGCAAAGTTTCAGTTGGGGAAGATGAAAAAATTTTGGAGATGGATGGTGGGGATGGTCATACAGTGACGTGAATGTACTTAACGCCACTGAACTGTACACTTACAAAATGGTTAAAATGGTAAATCATATGTTAGGGGTATTTGACCACAAGAAAAATCCAAAAATTGAAGGCCGTTCGGCCCGTCTCTCAGACTCAGTGGCCCCTTCAGGCCCCCCACTCAGCCCTGCCTTCCACCACTGGCAAGGGGGAGGTAGAGGTCCCCACCCAAACCAGGCTCATCCTTGGCCTCCTGTCACCCATCAACAGGTGTGGCTCAGGGACCAGCTCCGCGAGGGGAGCGCAAACCCTCTGGCCGGGGTCCCAGCCCACCCCGGCTCAGCCTGTGCCCTCAGGCTCCAAGCGCCCCACTGTCCTGAATCTCCGGGAGGTGGACCCACTTGGTCCTGGCATTTTCTGTAACACGTCCCAGCCCCACCCGGGCCAGGCAGCCTCCCCAGGCTGGGGGCCTCACCCCTGCCCGGCTCCAGGGGTTTCGTTTATTTTCAGTGTGTCCACATCCCTGTTTCTGCCCTGCCCACAGGAGGGAATGCTTTAAAGAAAATCTCAGTTATTAATGCGGTTTCTTTTGTTGTAAGTCAGTGCAAAGGCAGCAAATGAGAGTTTATTTTCCTAACGTGCTTGGCATAGCTCAGTGCCCCGGCCCAGACCTCAGCGTTTGATTTGGGAGGAACCCGAGACCCCGATTTGCTCTGAGTCACCGGCGAAGCCACAGCCTTCCCGGTCAGCTCCAGGGGGAGCCTGGTCCTGGGGAATCATTGGCAAAAATAGGCTACATCTACTGATGACTTGGTGAAAACAAAAGATGGAAAAATATATTCAAAACACTTTGAGACTGCTAACCTGGCACGTTGAAAATATATCAATTTTCCAACTCCTCAGTTTCCCCATTAACCTTCATTTTTCTAATAAGGCGCACCCCATCTCTGTTTGGTGTCAGTCGCTTTCTTTGGACCTGGAAATAGCTCCAGAAGCCACAGGAAAAGCCACTTCTGAGTATGTCCAAATCTTCACTGAGGGGCCAGGGTTCCCTGTGGGTCCAGGACTGGAGGACGAAGCCACAGCCCAGGACCCAAGCCTGCCAGCCTGGGGTCCAGAGTCCCAGCATCCCGAGGTTTGGGTGCCGGCTTTGTAAAGGGGTCCAGTGATGCAGGCTGGGCTCACCAGGATGCGGGGACGAAAGTTCCCCTCTCCCCCAGCTTTGGAGACTTCAGGACTTGGGAGTCCAGCGGCAGTGGTGGGGGGACCTGCTTGAGGGAGGAAGGAAGGAAGGAAGGAGAGTGGGACACAGTCCTCTCCTCCATCCACTTTCTGTCTGCAGGCCGAGACCCAGCAAGCAAGTCAAGGGATTCTCCCAGGCACGGGGGCTGCCTCAGAGTGCCCCCACCCCTGCCCCCCACCTCCTGGCAGCGGGCACCCCTGGAATGAGCCCAGTTGGCCTTGGGGAGCTGCTTGACTCGACATAAAACATTTGGATTTCATGGCCTAGTGATTTGTTTTCAGTCTGAGGAATGAGTATAGGGTTACCTCCTTTTAATTTTGCCAAGTAAGGACATTAAAATAAAACAATCTCCAGTTATTATCCCTTTTTCATAAAAGAAAGGGTGTTTTAACACCAAAAATGAGTAGGAAAGATATAATCCCAAACAAGAGACTCCTTTAAGCTGGATTTTAGAGCTTCAGGAACTCTCCATATTGTCCACGTTGCTTTCCATTTGCAGAGGCCTGGAGCAAATCGCCCAAAGGGCTGAGGGCAAGAAGCTTGGGGGTGGGGGCGTCCCTTGAGCCTGGCCCCAATTCTGCCTACGGCCCCTTGTCCCTCACAGATGAGAAAGGCGATCCCCACCTCTGGAAGCAGACCAATTGAGGGCATCAGGGGGCCCCAACCCCGTCCCACCTGATGCCACACCCAAGGTGTCCTCTGTCCTCAGTACCTGGGAATTCCCCGTGTGCAGAAGCCCCTCCTCAGAGAAAGGGCTCCTGGGCTCTCAGTGAGGGTGGCCTGACCCCAGGGGGCTGCTGCAGAGGCCTGCTGCCCACTCAGCTGTCTGGGGACTGCCAGTGGCCCTGTCCAGGTACTTGTGACCCCCGCTGTTCTGGGACTCCCCAGGAGAACCCGCCATTCAGAGCCCTTTTATGCTGTGTCCAGGAGAAGCAAGACCTCCCCCCGGTCCGTTCCCAGGGCCAGGCGCTAGGACCGGAGCGGGCACGCACCCCAGCCGGCACTTGAGTACAAAACGCCCTGCCTCCTTCCTTCTCTCCCCAACCCTCAGGGCCCCCCATTCATCAGGGCAAAACCAAAGACCTCTCCTCTGCCCTGTGGGGAGGCCAGCTCAGAGCCAGCAGAGACCCGAGGTGCTCACACGACCCAGGCTGGCCGGCCCCGCCCCCTCACCAGAGGGCACCCCACTTTACCCTTGGCCCAAACCAGACACCTTCCTTCCACTTTTCCACTAGGGAAACCCCAACTCCCAGGAGTGGGTCTACCCACTTCCTGATCACCTGGGCAGGTGAACAGATGCCAGCCGCTGTGGCTGGCGGGAGGCGGATGCCACTGGGAAAGATGGCACCAGCTGGGCGCTCTCTGAGGTGCACTATGAAAGTCAGGTGTGTGTCAGGTGTCCCTTACGACCGCACAGGCTCCCGGACAAGCTTTCCAATGAGGATGCCGTCACCTCCGTTTTCCCTGCACCTCCTCTCATCTGAAAAGCGGGGCACGCAGCCATCCAGAGCTCCCCTGAGACCCAGGGGCTGGTGCGGGAAGTGGGGGGCGGGGTCCCTGGGGACAGGTGGGAAGGCTGCTGGAATCAGGTGGGTGACTCTTAGGGGCCCAGAGCCTCCAGCAGGGCAGCCTGCTCCCCAGAGCTAGGGGAGCAAGCCGGCAGTGGTCTCCAACGACCCCACGTCCTCCGCTCCCTCCAGGAAACTCTCCAGGGCCGGGATCTTTGCTTTATCTTCATCTTCTCCTGCCCTAGCCACACCCCCCTTCCTACCAAGGGCTCAGGGCCCAGCAATCCTCTGTGACTTTTTGAAAAAAGCCACTTGGGTGGGTTGTTTGTTTTTAAAGCCCTTTCCTGATGACCTTTAACCTCGGCAGGGGAAGAGAGGCCTAGCTAGCTCTTCAGGGCTGGGCCATTCCCCCTAGGGAGCTGCTAGTGGGGCAAACTGGAGGTAGAGGGGGGGCAGGCATCGGTACCCCAGCCAGGAAGTCCATCTTACAAAAGCCTAGTAGTCGCTGGATTGGTATGCTGGAGCTAGAGAAGGGGGCAGAGTTTGAAACTCAGCTGTGCGACCAGGTCACTTTGCCCCTCGGAAGCCTCGGTTTCCCCAGCAGTAATCGCACCCGCGTCTCAGGCTCTTTGGGAGTGGGGCCTCCAGGGCTGCCTCCGGGGTAGGACACACGGCACACAGCTCCCCGTGCTTCCAGTGACTGGAGGTGGCTCTGGCCAAAAGGCAGTGCCCTCCGCCAGTCGAGAGCTCCCGTCCCGCAGCCCGCCCCATCGCGACATACAGCCTCAACGAGGGCTGCGGCGGCGGCGGCGGGCCAAGCCATCACTCGGGCTGCAGTGCCCGGCGCCCGCACCCCCGGAGGTCCTGCCGCGGCGCCTCCTTCCCAGGCTGGGGTGCGGCTGAGCCAGCGCCCCGCATCCGTCGCCTGCCCCGTGCTCGCCCCTTTGGACCCACGAACCTCTGGCCTCGCACCCCTCCAGCCCCCGCACCCCCGTATTTCAGTTCCCACGGCCCCTGGCAGCCCGCCCGAACCCCCGGCCCGGCCCCGCGCACTCACCGTCCTGCGGCGCCGCTTCGCTGCCGCTGCTGCCCCCGGACGGCTCGCGCGCCGCGCCCTCCCGCGCCTCTGCCCTGGCCGCGGGGCGCGGCGCTAGCCGCCCGGCCGCCGCCACCTCTTCCAGGTCCAGGAGGTGGCTGACCGTGAAGTTCTTGCGCGCCTGGGCGCAGTCGCCGGGGCCCAGCGCTGGCGGCGGCGGCGGCGGCGGCGGCGGCGGCCCCGGGCCCAGCGCCGGCTTGTCCGGGGCGAAGGCGGCGCCGGCCGCGCTGTCCATTGCCCGCGGGCCGCCCCGGGCGCCGGCGGCGGTGGCGGGCGCGGGTCCGAGGCGGGGGTGGCAGGCGCGGGTCGGAGCGAGCGCGCCCCGGCCGCCCCGCGCTCGGCCCCGCTCCCGGCCGCCTCCTGGCTCCGCGGCCGCCGCGGCCCGCCCGGCGCTGACGTCGGGGGAAACCAACTTTCTTCCCTCCCCTTCTCTGCCGCCTCGCTCGCTCCCAAGTTGCTCAAACGGGAGCTCCTTCGGCCACACGCCCCTTCTTGAAGCAGACCTCGCCCCCTTGCCTCCCTCCTCCTCGCCTCGCCCGCCCCCATCGCTCCGGCTGCGGGGAGGGAGGGGGTCCCGCCTGAGCCAGGCTGGAGGCTGGCGGCGGGGAGGGGGAGAACAAGGGGTGTCCTCCTTTCACCCTCCCCACCCATATTTTGAGGAATGGGAAAGTTCAGTGTTTGGGTGTGTGTGTCTTTGTTTTTAATCCCCCAACAAGTTTCTGGGGAGGTGATAGTGGAGGGATTAGCAGCCCCGCTTCCATTTACAAATTCCTCCGCAGAGGAGGGGGGAGCGACTCTGAGACAGTTGCCAGGAAAGGTCTGGAACTCCCAACTCCATTCTCACCCCCCATGCACCCCAACGCCGTCCCTGATTTAACGGAGGAGAGTCCTGGGTCCGCCTTGTTCACTCCGCCTGGCCCCAGGTACTCTCCCCCAGAAAGCAGCACATCCTCAAGCTTCTGGGGTGTATGCATTCCCCCCACCAACACATACACCTCGGAGCCCACCTCCAGAATGCCCCAGGCCCTCCCCAAGGAAAACCAAACCGGGAGGAAAGAGTTTCCCCCCAGAATTCCTAGTTTACACCCAGAGGGTAGATAGACAGCCAGACTGACAGCCAGACTGACAGATGGGTGACAGGGAAAGAGAGAGGACAGCCTGAGTCTCTGCTCTTGTTTTTGTTTTGCAAGGAAAGCACAGAAAAGATGCCCCCGGTGGTGAAGCTGAGACTGTAAGCCCTCCAGATGCTACAGTTCTTTCCCCAGGAAGGCTGCTTGGAGGCCTGGCCCTCTGAAGTCCCTGCCACCATTGTAGAGCCATAATGTTATAGCAACAAAGATAAGCCCACAGGACGAAGGCCTTCAGAATCTCCGTTCCCCACTCACGCACAGCAAACCCACCCTGCACACCCCCCCTGAAAACCTGCAGACCAGCAGCCCAGGTTCTGCATGAGTGAGAGTTCTTCCCAGAAAGGAATCACCCCCAAGATGAGGCTGAGTGTCTCCCAAGGTGGCATTAGCCACAGCAATCCAGAGAGGCACATGCGTGGGTAGGTTGAGGATTTGGAGGTGATGAGATGATGAGGTCCTTCTTCTTTGGAAAGTTGCCCCAACGAGTGTCCAGTGAGAAAGATTGGCAAAGGAGGTGGCATCAGGGGGTTCCCAGCACTGCCCACAATATAGTGGCTGAATGACTTTCTAAGGGACTGATCAGGGTGGGGCAGTGACTGGGCTCTAGGAACTGTCTAGAAGGGCCTCCCCCCGCTGGAGCACCCAGCCAGCCAAGGGTGGGGGTACTTATCCCAGGAAAAACACAGCCCAGCGTTCAGAACAGCATTGGTGTCAAGGACCATGTGCCAGGTCCAGTCTGCCATACACTGCTGTGTGACCTCAAACTTGTCACCTTCCCTTTCTGAGCCCCAGCTCCTCCCTTGTAGAAGGGGTCTAATGAAGTACCTACCTCCTGGGCACTATGGGGATTCCATCACAGGTGAAATCCTGGGCCTGTGGCCTAGAACACAGAACACTGTTAGCATCGGCTTGCAGAGCTGGGAAGGGCCTGGACATCATCTGGGTTCAAACGCAGACCCTGCACTTCCTAGCTGTGGACCTTAGCAATCTACTTGCCTCTCAGTTGCCTCAACTGTAAAATGGGCTCTTAGGAGGATTGCGTAGGTTGATATATGGGGGGCACCTGATACCTGGCGAGCACTCAATTGGTGTTAACAGTTACCATTTTTAAAACATTTATTCCAAGAAGCAGTGGAGGGCAGTGATGGCAAACTCAGACTCTAGAGCTGGGGGAGTGGGCGGGGGACACATGAATTTGAATCTGTTCACTGCCATTTACTAGCTGTGTGGCCTTGAAGAGGTCACGTGCTGGTCCTCTCTGAGTCTGATCCATCATCTGTATAATAAAAGGGCCAATTCAAAAGGATACTTGTGAACTTGGCAATATCAATTCTGTTGTTGTCAGGTTGTTACTACCCTTGCCAGTCCTGGGGCTTGGTGGCTGGGGTGGTACGGGGATGGCAGAGTGGGGCAAGAGGGGTAGACTGCTGTTCCAAAGCTCAGCCCTTGAGCAAGGGCTCTGGGACTGACGCAGCCTGGAAACGCACCCAAGGAAACTCCAGTTAACCTGGGAAGGATGGAACTCATTACCTGAAAGGGATACAGCTAAACAATAAATAACTTCCATGGTGATTTAGATAAATCCTACGATGCTAACCCAGAGCAAGGAATGAAGGGAGCATAGGATCCCTTGGAACTTCTCTGTTCAACGAGTGGTTATTGAGCCAGGCCCTGCTCTAGGCAGTGGGGTTGGGGAGGAGGGGAAGGGAACAGAGAGGGCCCCTGCTCTCCAAAAAGGAGTCCATGAGGAAGTAGCTGATCCTTAATTGGTGCCTCTGTTGGAGGTTGGATCCTGGGCCTGACCACGAGTAAAACTGCATATTTGCCCCAGTCTCAAAAACTTGCATGCTTAAAAGAAAAAAAAAAAGTTAACTTCCCTTATTACAGAAGTAATATACTTAGGAGATTTTAGAAAACATAAATAAAATTAATAAAATAAAAACACATATATCCCACTCCCAGAGATTTCTGAGACACAGTAGGTATTATATATATATATGTTGGTTTAATGAAAGAGATTGATGATAATCATCCTATTTATTCAATATTGAATTGAAGACCTAGAAGAAGCAATAAGACAAGAAAAAAGAGTGAGCTAAAAATAAATTTAGAGTATATCTCTCTAGCTTTTATCTATATTCTAGATAGAGAGAGATAGTTATATATGTTATAAAAGTCAAACTATGTTGTACTAACTTTTTAATAACTTGCACACTGTGTCATTAGCCTTGTCCACCACTATTTTTAATGAAAGCCTAGTGATACATTATTCCCTATTAATATATATCCATAGTCATTTTCTTTTCTTTCTTTCTTTTTTTTTTTTTTTCAGCCATGCCACACAGCTTGTGGGATCTTAGTTCCCCAACCGGGGATCGAACCCGGGCACCGGCAGTGAAAGCACCAAGTCCTAACCACTGGCCTGCCAGGGAATTCCCCATAGTTATTTTCTTGATAATAAATACCTAGAAATAGGATATCTGGATGTGGTAGGCAGATAATAACCTCCCAAAGATGTTCATATTATAATCCCTGGAACTTGTGGATATGGCAAAGTGGAATTAAGGTAGCAGATGGAATTAAGGTTACCTATCAGGTGACCTTAAAATAGGGAGAACATTTTTTTAGATATTTATTTTATTTATTAGTTTTGGCTCCGTCGGGACTTCGTTGCTGCCCATGGGCTTCTCTCTAGTTGTGGCGTGCGGGTTTTCTCTTCTCCAGTTGTGGCGCAAGGGTTCCAGAGTGTGTGGGCTCTGTAGTTTGCGGCGCTAGGGCTCTCTGGTTTAGGCGCGTGAGCTCAGTAGTTGTGGCGCATGGGCTTAGTTGCCCCACGGCATGTGGGATCTTAGTTCCCCGACCAGAGATCCAACCTGAGTCCCCTGCATTGGGAGGCGGATTCTTTACCACCGGACCACCAGGGAAGTCCCAGGGAGAACATTTTAGATTATCTGAGTGACCCAATGTAATCACAAGGGTTCTTCAAATTGGAAGAGAGATGGGAAAGTCAGTGCTGGAGTAATGCAATATAAGAGACTTGACTGGGCAGTGCTGTCTTTGAAAGTGGAGGAAAGCAGCCATGAACTAAGGAATGTGTGTAGCCTCTAGACGTTGGAAAAGGCAGGAAAACAGATTCTTCCCTAGAGCCTCCAGAAAGAAATGCAGCCCTGCAGAATCTTGATTTTAGCCCAGGACTTCTGTTCTCCGCAAAGGTAAGATAATGCCTTTGTACTGTTATAAACACTACGTTTGTGATCATTTGTTACAGCAGCAAATAGACAACTAATGGACTGAGTCAAAGATACTGAAAAAGGTTTAAGACTTTTGATAATATTGCTATGTAGCCTCCAAAAAAGTTGTATCAATTTCTACCCCGGAAGTGCATGAGCTATTTGATTAATGTTCTTTATTGACGGCACAGTCTTTATGGTTTTATTTAACATGAATAAAATGTGCACGTGAGCTGTCTCTTCACTTTCTTTGCTGCACGGCCTCATGCTGGGATGGGTGATTCTGATGGCCAGCTGGCTTTCCCTTCCAGGACAGCTTTGTAGTGGTTGGGGGAAACACTGAACACTCTCAGCACCGTACGATCTGTTGCACATCAGCAACACTGTTACTTCCAGCTCCTCGATGCCCTGGACCAGGAACTTCAGGAAGCCACTGGGTAGCATGTACTCATTTCCTTGCTGCTCCCATCACCACTGCTGGGCATCAAGAACAGGCCCTTGAGTCTTCTCTGTATCCTGTTGTCAATGTCTCTGGGTTTCTGCCCATTTTCTCCTTAGCATCATGCTGCCCTCAGACAGCGGAAGAGGGTTAATAATAATAACTTATTTTAAATTTCTAAAGAAATTTCCTTCTTTTAATCTGCGTACCTTGAATTAATCACTGAATGGGAATATTTAATGCTTACTTATTTTTAAGTTTTTAAAATTTAATTTTTATTTTATATTGGAGCATAGTTGATTTACACTGTTGTGTTAGTTTCAGGTGTACAGCAAAGTGATTCAGTTATACATATACATATCCATTCTTTTTCAGATTCTTTTCCCATATAGGTTATTACTTTGATGGCTACTAGTATTTCTTATTTGCAAAATGTCTGTTTATAGTCACTACCCATTTTTCTAGTGGAATGGTTCTGTTTCTTATGGAGTTATAATCAGGCCATTCTTTTGCTGTAACAACCTCTGCAAGACACTTGACTGTCAGTCACTAAAGGACCAAGCCCATTTCATGGATGGGAAAACAAAGACCAAGGATGACATGGCATCCTGCAGCTTTTCTGTTCACCTGATCAGCCCCCTTAGC